TCCATCCCTCATGCTGGAGAAGGGGCGTTGGTCTTACCTGAACGCCTTTTCTCAGCATGATGATGGATAATCCACCCCCGCCCCTTTTTCCTTTCATGGGTTCATGGGCACGGTGACAGGAGTCTGGAGACCAACACGCCTGACTTTGTCTGTTGCTTCGCCTCCGTCGGAACTGGGCATGTGCGACCAGGCAAGAGGCTATCTCAGACTTAGTCTTATTGGGTACAAGGGACTTCAGGAAACCCAATCATGTGGATTATCCATCATCATGCTGAGAAAAGGCGTTCAGGTAAGACCAACGCCCCTTCCTTAATATAATCTATATACCACTAAAACTCTGAGAATATAAAGATATTGAAGAGTACTGGGCTAAAACGGAACCTTGAGGTACCCAACTGCTTGCTTCCCTCAATATAGATGTAGTTCCATTAAGGACCACATGCTGAGTGCGGTTTGTCAGCTAGTTATGAATCCATTTGGTGGTGATGCTGTCTATCTATCCCACATTTTTTTTTAGCTTACCAAGAAATAAGTTGTGATCTACTATGTCAAATGTTGTCATGAAGTTTAACTTCTCATGAACTTTAACTGAGAGAAATGGTGCATCATAGGACAACAATTTTTGAATTAAGGTACCTTTAATGGGCCAATTTATAGAATCTGTCCAAAATTTGGGCTCAGTGACTCCCAGGGTAATGAAATTCGGAAAGTTGTGGCTGTTTCAGTGCTACTGGCTGCTGCTGCATCTTTCAACCTGATCTTCATTTTCACTGTTGCGTGGCAGTGTTGCGTGGCAGTTTCTTAACTAGTCTCACAATCCCTCCTTCCCTCCCACACCCAGCCTGCTTCCTTGACTGCCTGCTGGAAAGGGAAAGGAAGAAGATTTCTGATGCTCCCTGCCAAATTTCCACAAGGAAAAACAATGGGAAAGCCGGCAGGAAGTCAGAAATTGCTCTTGCTTTCACTACTTTTTTTTGCCTGCTGTTGACTAGTCTGTTTTTCTATTTAGGTAAGGAAATATCTCTGAAACGATGACCCAACGAGACATGGGTTGTTTAGTATATGTTAGCAGTAGTCTTGCTATGTCAGTTTTGTTCAAAGAGCCAATATGTTAACTGCATTTTACATACGGTCAGAGATACTGACCGTATGTAAAATGCAGTTGTTTGCTGTTAATTTTTAGATTAAAACTTTTCATCTGTTCAAATAATTCACTTCTAACATTGGTATTTCTAAACAAAACATGAATTTTTCAACCTTTTTTTTAAATATGGAATGATTCAGTGCGTATTCAGATTTTTGAACAGCCATCTGTGTCTAGTACTTGTATATAGGATGATGTACTGTACATAACTAGAAATATGTACAAATTAGGTATTAATTATGTAATGAAATCTTCTGTGTTTTTTTTTTTACCAGAAATGAAATATGTTTAGGGATCTGTCATGAAAAAGGAAGAGAGATGATATAATTCATTTTATTCTGTTTTTCTCCCTCTTAGAGATTTATTCAATATTTGGCATCTAGAAACACACTATTCAATCTCAGCAATTTTTTGGATAAAAGCGGATCACATGGTAAGAAAAACCATTCACTTTATCAAGTTTAGTGTGGTAGTTTATTTACAGAAAATAATGAGCAGAAACAACATTTTTTCATAGTTGTTTAGGCCTACATATTTAGTCAAAGCAAATATTTATCACAAACTTATACAGTAAAGGTTAAATTTATCTTTGCTCTTAATCTGCATTTCCGTGTATTTTTCCTAAAACACCAAAATGATCTTTCTAAGCACTTTGAGATACTGCTTTAAGTCACAGTTAAAGTGAAACTATGCCACTTTATTATTATTTCTTTTAAAATAGCATTTTTCTTAAAAAAAACCCAACTAACAGAAAACTAGTCCTTAGTCTGAAGGTAATAAAAACTTATATTCTGGAAAAAAGGCTTTAATTTAATAAAGATTGTATCAAAATGCAATTAAATTTATTTGTATGTGTTTGTTTTATGTGTTTGTTCCAGATATGGTTCTCTGATATCGAAAAAGGATAAAAATAAAAGATAAAGTTGGATGCTTAATAATGAATGACCATTTTTGTTTAATAAGGAGCAAAGAACTTATACCAGGCTCAATATTCTGCAAAGGATTGTTATACTGATTCTTTGCTATGATGTCAGACCTAGTCAGTTTAGTGTAAGTTTTCAATTCCTAGTAAACATGTTTTGTTAAAAAAAAAAATCTGTAGGCAGCCTTACATCTGTTAATTCCTCTGAAATATGGTTTGGCAGGCTGTCACTTGAGGTTTGTTGATGTGAGTATCTTAGGAGGAATGTAGGTGCCTTGTTCTCTTAATACAGAAAAGTTTAAATATATCACACTCAGGTTAATTGGAGAAGAGACAGTGCAAAGAAAAAATGAGAAGGGAGAAAACCTTCTAAAGTGAAAAGTTGTTTTTGATTCCTGAAACTTTAGTAGTGTACTCTTTCCCCAAGGCTATCAACAAAATAACTCCATATAGGATTCTATGAATTAAATCCTGGCAATGCAACGATTGCAGAATCAGTTGCTTACTGCAGGGGTGTCAAACTGCTGGCTCGCGGGCCAGATACGTCATGGCGAAACCACGCCCACCCCATTGCCGGCAAAGGAAAAAAAGTCACGCTACGTCGCGACACATCACGTGGCTTGCGAGTTTGACATCCCTGGCTTACTGTATGTAAGCCTCTCTGCAGCACAACTTCATGAGCACATTGCAGAGCTAAGTAAAATTTTATAGGGATATTGATAGGGGAATTGTTCTCTCACTCTTTCATCATAGCCCTATCAATCATATACTGTAACTTGTCTTTATTTTATCAGCATCCAATACATAATGATCCAACAACTGTTTTCTAGTTTAACTGTTCTTTAGATGAAAATGTGTACTAGTGATTACTGTAACAAATGTTGCCTGTTATTCAAAACTAGTTGTATATTGAAATTTACAAGATACTCTGCTCTCCCTTTGGGGTTTATTAATGTGACCTGTATTTAAAGAAGAGATTTTGGGAAATGTTCATTGATTGAGAAATTCTTGATTTGGTGTCAATACATAGGCAATTAGTTACATGTGGGCCTTCTTTTACTTAGACTTTGAGAGTGGTTGGAATAATTACTGAAATATCCAATAGGTTTGCATCATTAACATCATCCATTTTTTCACTCACTGTTATAAATTAATAAATCAAAATTGTCCATATTATGGTTTCTGTTTCTAGGATACGATATGTCTACTTTTATCAGGCGTTACAGTAGATACTTGAATGAAAAAGCATTTTCATACAGGCAAATGGCATTTGATTTTGCAAGAGTAAAAAAGGGGTAAGCTGTCCTTGTCTAGTATCAATATTGTTATTGCAATGTAATTAATTGAATGTTGCTATAATTATTTCTGGTCCTGTCCTATCCTATCCTAACCTAACCTAACCTAACCTAACCTAACCTAACCTAACCTAACCTAACCTAACCTAAATTGAATGTTGCTGTAAATACGTCTGTCAGTGTTCTATACTATGTTATATTATTATTCAATACAACAAATTGAATATTGCTGTAACTATTTCTAACAATATTATTTTCATGTGAATCATTAAAAAGGAATCAAACTGAAAACATGTTTTAAAAAAAAGGGTTCTGGCATGCACGTATTGCCATTTGTTAGGTATAATATGGGTTATTTTGTGTGTTTATCCAATAGAATGTCTAAAAAGCCCAACATTTTGCTAGGATTCCTGCCTTCTCTCACACCATGTTCTATTTAAAAATGGAATTCCTTCCCTTTCCCTCGGTTTTCTTCTGATGGTTTCAGTAGTAACATCTTTGATTTGTTCCTCCTCTAGTGCTTGGATCTTGTTCCTCTCAACTTTTAGTCTTTCGAATTAAGTTGCTGCTTGTGTTTTATGGCCATCAGAGCACCCATCTTGGAAGTAGTAGAACTGTGGCAATAAACTGACAGACATTCATTGTGTCTTTTTTGCCTTGTGATGGAATTGTGCATGCATTATCAGATGTTTATCAAATAGAATTGGTTTCTCACTTAAGGGCATGTCTTTGGGGGGAAAACTCTCAGTGAAACAGTCTCTGTAGCTAAATTGGCTCTGAGGATAAATTGGTTCTATCAGCCTAGTTTAAGAGATGACCTTTGTCAGGCCAGATTTGCACCCAGCTCTTATAGAGAACATTGCACCATAGTTCTGATGCAATCAGAAAGTATCTGAGTGTGTATAAAATAGATCACTGAAGGATTCATTCCGTTATGATTTGTGGCCATATCTCATAGAGGACTTATTTTTTTAACTAATGTAAGATTCTGTAACCATATTTGCACATTTCCCAGTGCTAATGGTCTGTTAAAAATGGCTAAAGACTTTTGATTGAAGCCATTGTTTATGCCACCAACATCAAAATCTCAGGAGCTTTTATTGGGTGTAATACTACTTCTTTTTCTACCATCTATTCAAATTCAGTTATCATTGCAGCTTCCCAGTTATTATTTAGTGTGCTGTAGCAAAAACGTAAATCTTTACTTGTCAGATGAATTCTTTCCCTTTCTAACTTCCAGGCTTATGTGGCTATGTATCAGTACTTTCATAGGGGAAAAAAACACTATTTTCCATCTGACTCCCAGGCAAAACACAGAGACTCATTAAAGTGTTTCATGTTGGAGAAATTTCTGTTGCCAAGCAGCAGATTATACCTCTAGACACTCCAGAGATTACATATCCATTTTTTTTAAAGTATTACTTTAACATATAAAAAATAAAGAAATCATTGATGCAAATAAGTCAAATGGTGCGATCATGAAACAAATCCAAAATATGCACTGTGTCATATATTACTTCTAATCTATTGAAGTTGACAGCCACCCATGGTAAACATCCCATCTGGTAAACAGGATACTCATTCTTTTTGTTCCACTTTTCTTGCAAATTACCAATATCAATGATACATGTTAATTTTCTATAAAACTGAACTGTAGATTTAGGATCATTTGAAACTAAATTATGCTAAATTAAAGTATCTAAAATTTTATAATTTAGACAGCTCGTAAAATGCTGTTGTATTTGGTCTAAATCAGGAGGTTAAAATATGTTTTAGATAAGTAAGCTATTTTAAACAATCCAAATTTTTGTGCCAACAAAACTAATGTTTTGGTAGTAAGATACAAAAGTAATATGTATTTTGCCCATGAAGATTTTAAAAGATTTACTTTTCAAACTAGGATCGTCCCAGAATTCAGTTTGTCATGGGAATAAGGAACAAATTTAAGCTTCATTCCCAGCTTCATCCAGCTTCTAGTTTTTAATGCTGGAAAAATACGTGACTTTTAGCTAAAGCCAGAGCCAACTGCAAAGACATTAAGGGAGGTCAAATATGAACTTTCTAGTTGGGTCTAACAACTGAGCTAAAATTGGGAAAGCCAAAAGTCCCATTTTCATAAGCTAGTAGTACGAGGGCAATTCAGAAATAAATCTCTGTTTGGTTATCAATGACAGACGCTCATAGATACAGAACTTTTATTATACACATTAGGAAACTATTACATTAGTTTTCGACATAATCATCATTCAAATTGAGGCACTTGTCATAACGTTTTATATTTGTACCAATTGTTCTGTTTTTTAACTGGCTGTAAGCCGCCCTGAGTCCACTAGGAGAAGGGCGGGATATAAATACAATAAACTTCAACTTCAAACTTCAACTACAAGGTTTGAAATTCCTTAGTAGTAGTCACTCTGCGCCAAATCTGGGCTATAAGGGAGTGATCAAAAACATCCCAATGGAACTGCTTCAAAAGTTCTTGGGTGCACCTAGCGCTGTGCAGGCAAGCATTATTGTGAACCAACACCACACTGGATGGGGTGCCATTGAAAATCTCGCCAAATATGAAGATGCCAAAGAAGTACTGCTAGTGAGGTTCATGGAGCGTGGTTTGACTATCAGTTCAGAAGTCTACTTGAACCATTACAAAAACTCAGACGAGCCATCCATAACAAGCATCGGGGCATGCTGATTTCCGGTGTGGTGTTCATGATAATGCTCGCCTGCACACCACTAGATGCACCCAAGAACTTTTGAAGGAGTTCCATTGGGATGTTTTTGATCACCCCTCCCCATAGCCCAGATTTGGCACCGAGCGACTACTACTAAGGAATTTCAAAACTTGAAAGACATTATGACAAGTGCCTCAATTTGAATGGCGATTATGTCGAAAAGTAATGTAATGTTGTAGTTTTCTAATGTGTATAATAAAAGTTCTGTATCTGTGAGTATCTGTCATTGATAACCAAACGGAGGTTTATTTCTGAATTGCCCTCGTAATTTAGATAGTGAAAACCGTGTGGTTTGTCCATTGCACAAACATTTTCTTAGTATCTTATCTGTTTTAAAATGAATTAACATGGGAATCCTTTTAAAGGTACACAGTGTCCTGAAGTAATATTTATTATAATATTTATTCTTCCCTATAGACTGATAGGGATATTTAACCACCAACTAATGTCAGTAGTGATGTTTTCAGTTTTTGGCAGATGCCGAGAGCTTGGCCACAGATTTTGAAGACTTATTAATCAGGTTAATACTCCTCTTGTAGAATTTGAGTTGCCATTAATATATTTGACTAATCTTTCCCTTTTTTCTTATGTTTTTACAAATCTTAACATGTTATATTGTTTCAGTATAATGAATAAGCTACAATATTTCTTTTTCTTTATTTCCAATAGTCTATTAATATTAATGATGATTTCAGATGACAGTATTACAAGCATAAGATTATTTGATTATTTCATCCAGAATTGAATGTAACATTTTTTTAAAAAATGCTGCAGATTGCCTCAAAGTATTTGTTATACAATAAGATGTATTAGTTGGGTTTGCTTTTGTTTCCTCAGGGCTGATGGTGTAATGAGGACGATGGCCCCAGAAAAACTACTGAAGAGCATGCCAATCTTACAAGGACAAATAGATGCACTTCTTGAATTTGATGTGTGTGCTTATACTTTCCTTAAACTTTTATGGTTACAGAAAAACACTTCTTACTTTGAATATTAAAAAAAACCACGAAACATTTAACTTGTAAAAGGAAAGTGATTGTATTTTGTCAAGCTGCAGAAAAAAAATAAATTGCTGAAGATGGATGATTGAATTACCTTTTTATGCTTCATTGAAGGTCACAACTGAGCTTCATAATTTCACCATTAATGTTACACAAACTTCAAAATGATGTGCATTAATATTCAATTTCTTACTGGGTTATCTAGATTTCATTATTTCTAGCAGTCAAACCTGAGCTGTTCATTCTTGTAGTTTACCATTGCTGAATTTACTGCAACAGAGGCATAATGTCTGTTTAGACTTCTGTTTAGACTCCATAATCTGAACAATGAATATATCTGCTAATATTTTACATTGTGCTGAAAGAAAAGGTAGTCTGAATGTTGTGTGTTTATAATAAATCATGGGCTTTTCTTATATAGATTCATCCAAATGAACTGACAAATGGGGTCATAAATGCTGGATTTATGCTTCTGTTCAAAGATCTCATCAAGCTTTTTGCTTGTTACAATGATGGAGTCATTAATTTATTAGGTATGTAAACTCATAAAAGCATATTCGTAATCATGCTTATTATTAAAAAGAAAAACGATCTCTGAAGTTAATCTTATTAAAGAAGAAGCATTGTTGATATTCCAAGTCAGTGGCAGTTTTGATTCTCCTGTGTTCACATCAATCTTCCTGTTTAGACCAAATCAATTGTGGCAGTTAATTTTCCGAACTCTCAGTCAGGTAGGATGGAGTGTTATGTAAGTGAGTAACTAACTGTTTATATTATCACCCATTTTGTAATGTTTCCTTATATTCTCATAATCACTGATTTTTAGATTAGCAACCTCAATGTCACAAAATATGCTTTTGAAGAATAAAAAATGATTTAACTTATTTATTTTTTTTGTATTCTTTTTTTGTATTCATGGATTTCTTCTCAAACCTAATATTCTTTGATTTGCTTAACTTTATGGTTCTTTAATCTACATTTTCTTTTAAGGCTGGAAAACTACTTTTGACATATTTCCATGTCCTCTTACTCACAGAAGCATTCCTTGATAATCTTTTTTTCATGCAATGCCATTACGGTGTTTTCTTTACCTCAGCCCCAGCCCTCAGGTTTAGCTCCTTATAAGTCAACTTCTTTAGTCAGGCCATCTCCTGACACAATCCTTGCTATGATCTAGTTAGCACACTTCACAGATGATGCAGTTACTGACATGATCAGGAACATGTTCAGTTCCTATTGGAATTAGGCTTTGCAGGTATGTCTCTTTCCTTTAGTTGTTGGTAACTTCTTGGATATTTTTCCTTGGACATTTTTCCTCAGCCTGCAAGAGACATCTTACTTTCACAATAGGATCTTCCCATTTTCTAAAGAGTTTGTGTGGGTCTTAAATGGACTTCTTATAAACCAGGCTTAGCATTCTTTTGAAGGAACACTAGACATAAGTTTAAAAAAACAGAACTGTATTGCATGATCTATTACTATTGGGTGCATTATAGGTTTTCTGTTGCTTCTGCCAACAAGGAGTTCCATGCAGCCATGTTTCTTACAAGGACACAACCGGACTTAACGTCCACCTCTGCCATTGCTTTGTAGCACTAATTGAGAATTTGCTTAGTATCAGTCATTCTGTCCTTCTCCCTATGATTCTTCTCTGGACTTATGATTTAGATTCAGGTTATTTTTGGTCATATTCTTTCAAAAGAAGACTAGATCATTTTTCAGAAATACTGTAATTGACTCACTGACTAATCACAAGTGTGGAATAACTCTATGCTCAGGCACTTTAGTCAGGCAACTTGCATTAAGCAATAAGAACCAGCACCAGTTGCCAGCATCATTATTGTTGAAGAATAAATCTCAGCAATCCAGGTAGCAAATTCAAGGCCAGTGTCTTTATTTTTCTATTTTAAGGACTGAAGGCTTGCTTTTTATTACAAACATCTGGCTGTGTCCAAATACTGTATTTAGTGATGCTTAGATAAGCACTTCAGCATATGCTTTTGGCAATGTATTAATGAAGCAAACTTCCTACTTGGCACAGATCATGTTTTCATGTTTTTGTTCTTTCACCCAAATAAATAGCCCCTATCAGAAAAAAATAAGTTTACCAAGCAAATGGTTGCAAGCACACTCAGCTAGCTAAGGTTTTTTGAATTCATTGTTGATTTTCTCTTAGAAATACATTGTCCTGGGATTTCAATTTAAAGGAAGAAAAAGAAGGTTAGGGAATAGTATAAAATTAAACTTGAAATTGGGATCGTTCATAGATGTTTGCCGAGTGGAATAGAACAAAAAATAAATCTGGCCATAATTGCTTTCTGCCATCTTTGTAATAATATCACTTATGAAGATTTTTCTTCATAGTGAAATGTCAAGTCTTCAGATGTTCTGCTTATGAAGAATACTAGAGATTGAGATTGTCAAATATATGTCTTCCAGAGAAGTTTTTTGAAATGAAGAAAGGACAGTGCAAAGATGCCCTTGAAATTTATAAGCGGTTTCTTACTAGGATGACAAGAGTATCAGAATTTCTTAAAGTTGCAGAGGTAAGTGGAACTTTCATATAAAGAACTGTAAAGACTGCAAATATTCTGCAATGTACTGAATTTTGTGAAAAATACCAAAAGATAGAAGAGATGATTATATTTAACATCAGTTACACATTTACAATGATAGTATGTTGATTTGTGATTTAACTAGTAGTGAACATTCATTAAACGGAAGGAAATGACAGTCAACTAATGGAAGTAATCACCAGGTGGTTGGTTTTCAACATCCAATGTTTGCCTGATTATTCAGCTAAAGTCCAGTGTTTCTCAACCTTGACAATTTTAAGGCATGTGGACTTCAACTCCCAGAATTCCACAGCCAGCATGGCATCGGACCTGGGTACCTCCGAGACCGTCTTCTGCCGCAGATTGCCTCCCATCGACCGGTACGCTCCCACAGAGCGGGCCTCCTCAGGGTGCCGTCGGCCAAACAGTGTCGGCTGGCGACCCCCAGGGGGAGGGCCTTCTCTGTGGGAGCCCCCACCCTGTGGAACGAACTCCCCCCAGAGATCCGGATTATTCNCAAGCGGGATTGGCCTAGGGGGGGATTTTATAGGGATTTTAAAGGGATTTTATAATTTTTCTAATACAGGTTAATTAATATATATTTTAATTTGGCTTTTAAATATTTATTGTATAGCTCTGTTTTTATTTACCTGTAAGCCGCCCTGAGTCCCTCGGGAGAAGGGCGGGGTATAAATTAAAGTAATAATAATAATAATGCCTTAAAATTGTCAAGGTTGAGAAAGACTGAGCTAAACGCTTCATGGTATGTGAAAAGAAGTCCCAGAGACCTATGCCTCAAATTGTAAAAAAAAAAAAAAAAAAAAAAAAAAAAAAAAAAAAAAAAAAAAAAAAAAAAAAAAAAAAAAAAAAAAAAAAAAAAAAAAAAAAAAAAAAAGAGAGAGAGAGATACTTGGAGAATGTGTGAAAGAATTACAGTATCAAAGAAAGGCTTAAAAATCACCAGTCCAGAGATTTAAATCAAGCATAAGAAAGAAACTCAGAAGATCCCCATCTTGATTTTGTTCATTTTGTTGCATTTGTTAAAGCTGCCAAACTCCAAGAAAATTCTGGGTGACGTACAATAAGTCTAATAGATGTATTTAAAAAAACGATTAAAAACCTCAGGATTGTTTACTATAAGATGTGACAGAGAGAAACTTGAAAATACATTTATTTATTTGTTTAATTGATTGATTAATTAATATCACTTAAATAAAATTTGATTACTACACTCTACAACAGGGGTGTTAAACTCGCAACGTCACATGACGTGTCACGACGTATCGCGACTCTTTCGCTATTGCCGGCAATGGGGTGGCGCAGTTTTGCTATGATGCATCCGGCCCGTGGGCTATCAGTTTGACACCCCTGCTCTACAACAACAAAGTTGCGTTTGTGAAATCCTCAAAGTATCTGTTTTTTGGCTTGGCTTATTTCAAAAGGCTGTGTTCAATCTTGAAAGCCTCTACAAGTTTCTCTCTGTCAGAAGGTAATTAACGATGTTACACTTAACAATACAATTCACCTGTTGTTGCTTGACGATTTATATTGCTTTTTGGTTTGTGATCACAAGTGTGAAACTTGAAACAATTTTATTTTCATTTATTTTTTTTCTTGATCCACAGCAAGTTGGAATTGACAAAGGCGATATTCCTGATCTCACGCAAGTAAGTTGCATTCAGCTTGACAGTATTTAAAGGTAACAGAAAAAAAAATCTGTCCATTTAGCATGCAACCTGAAAGCATTAATTATTTTAAATATTTTAAAGATATGCTTCCTGAAAATGGCAGCCATTTTGACTAATGTAGTTCGATCATGTCTGTGTTTCTAGATTAGGATTTCCAATTTTAGGGCACTTATTTAGGGAATTTCCATCTTTAGGGTATTTAGAAATATTGTACTTAATGAAGAAAGCCTCCATTTCTTCTCATTTCTAGAAGTTGAATTTGTTCCCAAACTCTGAGAGTGCCATGTCTATGGAGATTCTCAGTCATCCAGGTCACGGTGTTTTGCTTGAAGACGTTTTGTTTCTTATCCAAGAAGCTTCTTTGGTTATGAAACCAGAACTGAAAAAACTTTCAGAACCGAGGAAGCTTCTTGGATGAGAAGAGAAATGTTTTCAAGCAAAACAAGAAAGTCCAGTTGCCTTTTGAAAGAAAGCATCTTTGGGACGTCTGAGAGTGCAAGCAGTACACTTGAGAGAGGAAGTTCTTTAGGATTTGTACTCATGCTTTGACTTGGTCCATAACATATCTTAGTTTTTTTTTTCTTTCCAAGGAAGAGATATGTTTAGGACTACCATAATAAAACCAATTACTTATAAATTATTAGATGTAAAATAGTTCAATACAAAGAAATGAAAACTTATTCATATTTCTACTTTGTACATGAATGCAGTCATTATTTATCATTGCTTTGGTAATATAGAGGGATAACAACTGCCTTTAAAGATTGGGAAATTGTTATCTATTGCAAATGTATTTGAACAACGTTTTAAAAACTTACAAAGTATGTTGGTAAACAAAAATAGTTTCTGCAGAAGTTTAACCTAAGAACGACGTACAGTACTTGCAAACATTATGATGGCATCCTATCTGTATAACAATTTAATATTTTGCATAGAAATGAAACATTTATTTCTAATTACACATTACAGGTAGATAGAATTAAAATTACACTGACAAATGTTGCACAACTATAAAAATAATCATTGGCTTTTTCACAGTAATGTGCCAGAAATTGTTTGAAGTACAATAAATAAATTCAGCTACCATTCTCTCTTTTTTTTGCTTACTGTTTTTCTTTTTGACAGAATACATGATTACTGTAGCTTCAAGTGAACATGAAGTGTTTTGTCTTGCTTTGCTTATATTTTTTTCTTCTAGTGCTTTTACTTGATAATGCCCGAATATAGTTAGAAAGTGATTGTCGGAAATGTAATCTTATTTAAATTGAAACCAAGAGATTTTGCAAACTCCTTAATCGTGAATAAGAATATCTATATCTTCCAGTGTTTATATATTTTATATATCTTCCAATATTTTAGTGCATTAGGAAATTGTTCAGGGGTTTAATTCAAAGCAGTGGTCTTTTTAAGACTGCTGTTGGTATTATATTCAGTAATGGAGAGTTTGCAGGCTTCCCCATCCATCATCATCCATCAAGGAGCATGAAATGGATAGAATCCCATGACTTAATACTTGCCTATAGGCAGGCAGCTAAAGCAGTGGTTTAAAACAACTTGGAGTTTGAAAGCATTTGGTTTTAATGTAATTACTTTTGTCTTATGCTTTCCTTTTGGATATCTTAATGTCCATGGTGCTAAGTAGTGAATGAACAGTTTTGAAAGTCCTTGCACATGATGTAGAATATAAACCATCTGTATTTGTAGTTTCTTAAAAGTTTTTCTCTGAGGTATAACCACACATCGTAAAACGTTCAGAGTTAAAAATGGTTTCTGTATAAATGAATGAAACAAGAATAGAACTTGATTTTTGAATACATGCATAATCCTATCGCACAATTGATGATATATTGTTATAAAAATAAATAAATAAAGTAGCGTAATAGCAATTATTTCCCCCAAAAGTCTGTTCCACCTAGTTAACTGCCAGTCTTTCAATTTGAACAAAATAAGTTAGTGGCCTTGATTAATGTCCTCTTTTGTTTTTAATGTAATTTATTAAATTTCAATAACATGAGTAAAAAGTAAATAAAAAAGGAAATTGACAAGGTTGGAAAAGACAAAAAGCAAAATAAAAGAGCAGAAAGCTCCCTTTTCTGTTTGCAAGTAATGTTTTGACTTATTGAATATAGAAAGGCAGAGACTAAGTAATCATTTAATTGCAAAAGTATTTTCCAAAATGGCTGGCTAGATGGCAGCACTTAGCTGACTTGGCCAATCTCAAAAATTAAGCAAGGCAGACCTAATGGTGCTTGGAGGGGAGAGCACCAGGGAATCCCAGAGTAACAGATTAGATTGGAAAATTAAAAAACAAATAAACGGAGGCAGTGGCAAACCAGTTCTATATTGTTGCCAAGAGAAAACATGGATGTATCCTTGACATTCTCAAGCATCAATATCAACTTGAGGAAGATTTGGCTTCATCAATTCATATAAATTCCATACAGCAAACTTCCTATGGGTTCATGAATAGAGATTTCTGATTATGCTTTGAAGTAGTATAAAGGCTGCTTTTGTTTTTATATTATTTATATTCATTTATATATTTATTTTATTTCATTTTATTGTTAAATGGATAAGTTCTAACTATTTATACAAACTAATCAACAGATGTATATGCTCATAAAATTGGTACCTTATCAACACATTATGAATCAATAAATTGGAAAAGTTTATTTTAACTGAACCCTTAGTTACCTGTTTTGGTGCGATTAGAAGCATATTTCCTAATTGTGATATATTTCATGATTTTGTATTCAGTATCCTATTAGTACTTTCTTGCATTTTCAGAAATGGTAGTAGACTATGATATGATGAACAGGATTCTTCAATGATCCATTACGACAATATATTGAAGAAAGATCATATGTAATATATATCATTAGAGAGGAGGATATGAAATATATTTCTTTAACATTGGGGAAAAAAGGGAAGTATTGACCACTATACCTTCTGCCAATTCTGAATTTGAAAGCCATTTACATAGCACATGGAAACCATCTCAGATAGTGGACAAAAAGTTGACAAAAAATGGAACATTTGTGTATTTAATCAGACAATTCTATTTTAATGATGCCTTTCTAAGTAATGGTTCTAGAGAGGCTCTGGTACAGTCCTTAAAAACTAGTATTAGAGATCGTGTGATTTGAACCAGTGACCTACAAGTTGTAAGTCCAGTTCATTCCATATGCCAGGGGAAAATGATAAAAAAGTTTTCACAGGGGAAATAGATTATTAAGTATAATTAGTTTGAACCTATTGCTATCTCTAAGGCAGTTTAAGCTTACATTAAGAAACCTTTCTTGAGGTAGGGCAACACATCTCTACATATTTTTTAAAAAGAACTTTATCTATACTCCAGGATTTCTGTTGTGAATTTAGATGATATCTTGGTCTTCTTCCAAGGTATACTTTGTGTGTTGAAGTTTAGATAAGGTTAGAACAAGTTTGCATTAAATCTGTGGTATATGTCTAGCTCTGTTGCAACTTGAAGGTAATTTGTTATAAATTGAACAAATAAACAGGTTCAGAAGCTACGTGTGCTAATTTAGTCCTAACTGCAATCTTTCTATATTGTTACGCCCAATTAAGTTTTTAATGGCTTAAATTTAATTTGCGTATTTAAAAACTCATAATTTTGCTAACCTAAGTGATAAAAAGGCCTATATAAATGATGGCCTTATCATGATGAAACATAATATGTATCTACCTTATACCTGAAAAAAAAATTCTGATCACTGTTTCTATAAGTATTACTTCATCTGGGAATTTCAAAGATACTCTTTGTTTTACTGCACTTGGAGCCTTTTCTCATTTTAATAACAGCAAGAGCATGACTAGATTAAAACAGTACTATAAATGTTAAGGGAGAGATTACTTAAATTGAATTAAATCATAATTTTAAGATTAATGCTTGGATTTTTTTAAAAAAAATGTTTTTACATTGGCTGAGTGGAAAACTTTTACTTTATGATTCTTAAAAAAATAAAAACATGCCCTGAGCAGGTCTGAAAAAATAATTCTGAAGAAGGTCATGAATTGCTTCTCAGAAATATTTGGACCAGTAACATAAACTTTGAAGGATGAATTAGGTTTTATGAGAAACAGAATTCTAGCCACTAACCTTCAGTATTCAGAATTTCTCATATGTAATGCATTCTGTCTCTTATGCCCCTCCTTTATATTATTAGACATGAGAAAGTGAAGTGTGGTAGGCATTGGTTAACATTACAGGGAGGAAAGGTCTAGTATGGGGGCCTCAAGTTTTCTGTTCATTTTACTGTATAGTTCCCTGTTTTGTTACAGATCTAATTCTACAGAGAATAAATTGCCAGATTTTTCATTAGGTTGACTATGTATTTAAGTAGGCATGCATATGCTTTGTGTATAGATTAATAATGTCTAATACATACCAATCCTGGCTTCAGTTTGTATTCCAACTAATAACCTCTTCTTCCAAAAAATGTACTTTGGCATAATATACAATTCATAGTAGCATGGAAATGGTCTTTTGCACAGTTGTTTTATGCGGGAGAGGCGGCAAATAAATTTAACAAACAAATAAATAAATAGCATATGCATGCAAATAATTGAGTTCAAATAATTGAACTTTGGAAATGTCTTTTGAGTTCCGTATCAATTGCTTTTTCTAACGCTCCTTGATTTTAAATGTGTTTTTTCATTATATTTTTAGGCTCCCAGTAGTCTTATGGAGACACTTGAACAGCATCTAAATAATTTGGAAGGAAAGAAACCTGGGAACAAGTATGAAGAGATTTTATAGATTTATATAAAGAGGTTGCAGGGAGAGAATCTGTGTATCAGTTTGAGCATTGCTTGGGGAAGTTTTTGGCTCCTTAATAGAAAAAGCATTGCGCGTTCATTATACTATGGTAAACACAAAACAGCATCTCAACTGATGATTGTAATAAGCTACATGTATCTCTCTCTTCCTGAATTTCTCATTGCCTAGTGATAGCTTTATTGCTATCATTTGATAGCCACTTATTGAAGGAATATTAGCAACATAGAGCTGCACTAGTATATACATACTACTTTGTATGAACACATTATCTCCAGTCTTCCTTTCAGAATGGATGGTACATATGTGTGTTGTGAGACTATTGCTTACCTGTTGGTATGAAGGATACAACTGGGTTTTCCTGGGTAGCAAAAATGACATAACAGTCATGTTTCCAGCTGATGAAAGAAGCTGTAATGGGGAAATACAGAGTAGATGTGTGTTAATCCATATGGTTTATTTGAGCATGTAGGATTGCAGTTGTAAATATTTACAGATATTATAAATGAGTAAAACAGACAGAAATTTGTAGTTTGTATCGGTGGGTTCCTTCAATCACACAGTGCATTTGGAACTTGGCTCTGTCACTTTGTACAGTAAAGAAACTAGATGCATTTATGACATTATATAAAATTAATTAATAAGGGACATTGCTTCCTTTTCATTGCTGCATTTTTTTTTGAATATTCCAAAATTAATTATATGATGTTAATACAAAGTATGATATCCAAGATCTGGCCTTGTGTTGCATAGAAACTGCTGTAAAGTAGAATGTGGCTGAAAGTTATAGGTAGCCTAATGCAATCCATTTAAGTTTAACCAAAGTTGCCATCCTAATGAATGTAACAGAATTCAACAGACAGAATTTCCTCCTGAGTATACATGCTATAAATACCACTTTTTAAGTTAATGTGTAAAGTTTCTTGTGTTCTACTCGAAGCAAACTTCTTTTTAATAGTCTGCATTTTGTCATGCAATGTTAGTAATGATTGGAAGAAATTAAAATAGGCTGACATTAACTGATCTTGTTTTTCTGTATCCCTCTCTTTTATTTGCATAATGGATGTTTTGTCATTTAGTGATGGGTAAGTAAACTTACTAATGTGTATGCCTGTGTGTGTTTTGTATCAGTCTCTTTAATGAAAGCTTATATTTTATGAATATTAGTTTCTTACCAGTAATTTGCATGCTGTTTTGGAACGCTGGAAAATGAAATGCCTGTGAAGCACAATGGTAATTTTCATGTTTACAGTATTTATGAAAATATAATTTCTGTTCTAAAAAGATAATTAACTGTAAACTCACACTGTTAGCTAAATTGTTACATGGCTTACGGCTCACTGATTTTATTTAGCTCCTTGCAGTAAACCATAAAAAGATTAATCTCCTACAATGCTTTGTGGATATGTTAAGAGCCCACTTCAATCTTTTTAACAAAACTTCAAAATCAAAGGGAAGTTAAATATAATTTTTTAAGATTTGCGCAACAAGTATTGATTGAATTTTGTTTGGAGATGATAGACTCTGTGAGTTGGATTTAGGGCAAGGTTTAAATATAAATATATATTGCCTCAGTGTTTCAATTAAGGCAATATTTTTTTAAGAAAAAATCAGGGATGATATTAAGGTTCAGAATACATACCATGTTCCCCTGAAAATAAGACCCAGTCTTATTTTTTTTTCCTCCAAAGAGGCACTAGGTCTTATTTTCAGGGATGTCTTATTTTTTCCCTGACACCTGCCTTGCCTTGCGGTGGTGGCACCAACAGTCTCATCCAACAGGACCCCGCATGGCCGCCGCCCCAGTTCTTCTGCGGTTACTTGTGGCACGACACCATGTGGCACATCGTGCTGGTGCCACCACCACAAGGCAGGTGGGGAGCTGCCCCACGTGCCCCGCACCCACTTACCTCAGGATCGCCGCAACCAGGCCTCCCACGCTCCAACACCTGTTGTGCCACCGCCCTACTTCTGTGGGCCACACGCGGCAGGATGCTATGTGGCGCGTCGCACCATCACCGCCACCACAAGGCAGGTGCGGGGACCTGCCCCATTCGCCCTGCACCCATTTACCTCAGGACCGCTGCAGCCAGGTCTCCCATGCCCCAACACCTGTCGCGCCACCGCCCCACTTCTGTACCCTGAATTTCTTGCGACTCCATTTCCTGTGGAACCATTGGCCCCACTCTCTCGTGTCCAGCAATAGACGTCTCCTTAAGTGAGCGCTAGTTGTCCATGTAGCCTGCTTGTAGTGCATTGGCTAACAGCTATCAGTGATTTTATCCCATGAATTCTTCATCCAAGTCACGACCTCTGGCAGGCTAGGCTTCACAAAGTTTCCATGCTGATTTCTCTCCATTCTATGTTCAATGTAGTCATTGATTTCCATGTGCAAATGGTCCATGAATGCCTTGTCTATTGCGATATCAAGAGTCTGGAGACAGGCAGTCATTCCTGCAGGAATCATTATTTGATTTATTCTTCTCCTCTCTTCATATCTTTAGCGCGGTGAGTGCTGGCTGAACCCCAGACTAGCAGACCTCTTTGGCCACCTTGAAAAACAAGTGGCAGCATTAAATCAACCCACTTCCTGTACCAGGCTTTTTCGTTTTCAAGAACATAAATGCCTGAAACCCGTTCAGTCTTATCTTTCTTGCCCTTAGTGATGATTAGAGGTGGGGTTTTATTTCCATCGAGACGAATTGCCAAAATACAGGTAACGTGTGCCCCTTTGTAACTAGTGGAGGGTATCTAGATTGACGAGGCACCCCTCTGATCAATTGTTGTTTGAGATGCTTGGCCCATAAATACTGCAGTTTCATCTATGGCAATCAAGTTGGAGAGTTGGTATTTAGAAAAGCCGATGCCATCAACAAAGACTTGAATGCAAGTTCACGTTTAATCAACTCAGTATCTTCCAGCTTAAATGATGTTGTCAATCTTCTTAGAGACAGTTCATATCACTGAAGAAAGCCATCCAGCCAGTATTGTGATGCTTTGAATTCTTCTGGGGATATTTCTAACTGTGGTGCCATTGCAAGGGCAAATGCTTAAATATCAGCCCTGTGCACAACCAAAGCCTTTGCTCTCCTGTCAGCAGTCCATTCACAGAGGTTGTCTTCCAGTTCAGGAAATAATGGCTGCCGACCTGATACACATTTTCGCTTCTTGGCATTTCCCTCGTCTACCTGTTATTGTACTCTGCTCACCATTTTTGGATCATACGGAGATCCGATATCTCTTTGGAGAAAGCTGTAAGATTCTTGCCCCAAGAGTCCTCCACGATTCCTTTTTTTTTTTTAAAAAAATATTTTTTTATAATGACATATCTTTAGTGCTTAGTAAACAATGTGTTGTCTGGGTCCACATATTTAACTTGATAATGCATCTTAAATTCCTACTCTCTACGCCGTTTTTCTAGCCATTGATAAAATACATCCCATGTTTGAAAGTTTTCTGTATCTTCTTTCCCTTTCAACATTTTTATGTAAGCCTATCCATTTCCGCACAGTCCAAAATTTTCTTAATTATCTCTTCTTCAGCTGGTATTTTTTCATTTTTCCAATGCTGTGCAAATGCAATTCTCGCTGCTGTTAATACATGTAACATTAAATATACACATTCTTTATCATAATTTTCTGAGGTTATACCTAAAAGAAATAATTCTGACTTAAAATCTACATGTTTTCTTAACATTTTCTCTAACCACATATGTATTTTTGACCATAATTGTCTACCAAAGGTGATAGTACGTGCCTGGCTTTTGCCTACATTTCCAACAATTGCTAGACATGTTTTTAAATGTTTTTGCTAACTTTGCAGGTGGTAAATGCCATCTATAAACATTCTATATAGATTTTCTTTATATGCAGCTTTCATTGTTATTTTATAGTTTCTTTCCCACAGATTTTGCCATTTTTCTAGCTGTACATTGTGCCCCAAAATTTTTGCCCATGTTACCATTGTTTCTTTAACTTGTTCATGTTACATCTTTGAATTTAACAAAAACCTATACAGTTTCTTAATCAATTTTTCATTTGATGACAATAATATTTGTTCAATCACTGTCTGGTCTTTATAAAAGCCATATATTTTGGCATCTTTCTCATATCTCATTTGTATTTGCAGGTGCGGCCACTATGATAGCTCAATGCCCTGTTCTTCCAACTCTTGTTTAGTTTTTAGTTTCCCTTCTGTATTCAAAATGTCTCTATAAGTCACAAGTTTCTCATAATTAATTAGATTTGGGTGAACAAATGCTTCCATTGTCAAAATCCATCCTGGTATTTTCATATAAATTTTCACTTTTATCTCTTCCCATACTAAAAGCAGTGCGTTTCTTACGTAGTGATTTTAAAAGTATTTATGAATTTTATTCTTCCCATACCATAAAAGGGCGTGCTATCCAAGTTGTAAGTCATGTCCTTCTAAATATAGTAATCTTTTATGTCTAAGAGTTATCCATTCTTTTAGCCATGTTAATGCAGATGCTTGATAATATAGAACCCAGTCTGGCAATCCAAATCCTCCATTTTCTTTCACTTCTTGTAGCATTTTCAGTCTAATTCTGCCTTTTTCCCTTGCCAAATAAAGTTCAAAATCGATGCATTTAACTCATCAAAGATTTTTTTTCTCTATTTTTATAGGTATTGTTTGAAATAAAAAAAGCAGTTTTGGTTAGGATGTTCATTTTCACCATCGCTATTCTTCTTAACATTGATAGTTGTAGATTTTTCCATTTTTCCAAGTCTAGTTTTATTTGTTTTAATAGTTTTACATAGTTGTCTTCTTTTATTGTTGCTCACCTTGCTGTTAAATATATCCCCAAGTATTTAACTTTCTTAACTACCTGGAGGTCTGTTTTTTCTAACAGTTTGTTTTTTTTTGTTTATCTGTAAGGTTTTTGACTATAACTGATTATTTTCAGTCTTGTTACTTCTCCAAATTCTTATGTCTTTGTCAATAATTTGGGGCTTGTCTCCAGTGGGTTTTCTAGTATCAATACCAAATCATCCGCAAATGCTTGTAGTTTGTATTTTTCGTCTTTTATCTCCATTCCTTTAATTTCTGGGTCCTGTCTGACATTTCTATTCAACACTTCCAGAGTTAAAATAAATAATAATGGAGATAGTGGGCATCCTTGTCTTGTGCTTTTTTAATATTAACGTTCTCTGTGAAGTCTCCATTTACAATTACTTTAGCTGTTTGTCTATAATAAATTGTTTTAATTATATTTATGAAGTTTTCTCCAAAGTCCATACAGTTTAATTGTTGTATCATAAATTGCCAGTTTGCATTATCAAATGCAAATTTCTAGAAATGTAAGAAAAATAACGCTATTTGCTTCCCTGGATTCATTTCATAGTATTCCAGTGTATCTAGAATCATTCTTAAATTGTTCTTAATGTCTATCTTTCAAACTTCCAACCAGGACTTATTTCTCAAAAGTTCAAAGTATTTTAAGTCTCCCAAATTTTTCAGCGTTACGTCTTTATGTTGTTTCCAAATTAATTTTATAATCTGTCTGTTTATCCCCCAAAAGATGTTAAACTGCCACTTTTCTTCTAGGGGGAGGGGCAAACCCCCTCTCCCTCTTACATCTGGGAGCTTTCTTGCTTTTGGGATTTCTTTTTTCTGGAGAAAGTTTTTTAAAATAGTAGAGCAAGGAAAATACTTTCACCCAGTTCCAAACACGTTGCTCATGGTTTGCTCGTTAGTGCTTTTTTCCCGGTTGTCGGTACCTTCAGACTGGCTACCGGACTGCAGCCAGTTTTTCCCCTGCCGGTTCAGAGAGCTTCCTTGGATCAAATGGATCAATGGCTGTCTCTCTGTGATCGATGAGGGTCCCTTCCTTCGTTGCCTCTCCAGAGCAACTTTAGGCTCTTTTCAGGCCTCCAGCAGGTCGAAATCGAGCATGGGAGGCAGAACCCTGCTTCCCTGCATCCATATTGCTACGACACAAAACCAGAAGTCCTCCATGATTCCTTTCTTGAATTCAAAGGAATAGATCTTTCTTTTTGCACTCATCTTGTCTGGGGGTCAGAATATTATTCCGTTTAAATCTACTATTGAATCAGGGGTATCAAACTTGATTTCACTGAGGGTTAGGGTTGGGCATTATGGGTTAGGGTTGGGGTTAGACATTGTGGTTGCCCTGGGGGGATGGAGGTTAGGCATTGTTAGTTAGGGTTGGGGTTAGACAATGTGATTGCCCTGGGGGTTAGGCATTGTGGGTTAGGGTTGGGGTTAGGCATTGTGGTTGCCCTGGGGGGAGTGGGGGTTAGGGTTAGGCGTGGGAGGCCTGGCAGTGGGGGTCCTGAGGTAAGCGGGTGCGTAGGTCAGCTCCTCCTCACCTGCCTCGCCACATAGCGGCTTGCCACAAGTGGCCGCAGAAGAAGTGGGGTGGCAGTGTGATGGGTCGGGGTGTGGGAGGCCTGGCTGCAGTAGTCCTGAAGTAACTGCGGGGTGCATGGAGTAGCTCCCCATCTGCCTCATTGCAGTGGCACCAGTGCAGTGCGCCATGTGGCATCCTTCTGCAAGCGGCTGTGAGCAGCCGCAGAAGAAGTGGGGCAGCGGCCACACAGGCTCTGACTGGATGGGATTGTTGGTGCTGCCATGAGGTGTGACAGGTGACAGCGCATGGGAAGCCTGGCTGTGGGAGTCCTGATGTAAGCATATGAGAGGCATGTGGGACAGCTCCCCCCACCTCTTCTCACCTTGTGTCGAAGAACCAGGCAGAGTGATGGAATGGATGGGCGGCCAAATGCGCCGGCTCTTAAGTAGAACTTATTTTGGGGGGTAGGGCTTATATTAGGCACATATGTAAAAATCAAGCTAGGGTTTATTTTCGGGCTAGGTCTTACCTTTTTCTGATTTGAAGTACAATCATTATCTATTTGTCTTGTTCCTTTATCTTTTTATCATTTTTATGGGCACTTTAACTTATATCATGATTTGCTATATTTCCAAACAGACCAGTTAATTTCACATTTTAACCATATTATGTTTGATTTAGAATGAAATTATTAGAGAATATTTTAAATCTTTTCTTCCATTTTAAAAAAGAGCAATGGAAAGGGTTTAGGAAGAAATGAGTTGTCCCTATTTTTAATATGTTTTCCCATCTGTTTTTAAAATAGAAATTTTGTTTTACAATTGCAGAGGCAATCACTATTGTTTAAAATATTTATACAGTTTGACAGATTTTTCTGTGAGTTTATAACTAGCAAATAAAGTCTGTTCCTGAATCGTATTTTCTTATGTTAATTCTTCTAGGTCTGGTGCTCCTTCACCCTTGGGCAAGGTAATTTAAAGATTTATATAACTAGTCAAGTCTTCAGTTAAATATGTAAACTGGAAAAGTCTTGTGCTTCCTAAGAATGTATAAAATTGATATTTGATCTCTTACTGTTTGTATCCCATACATCTATATTACTTTTCATTTCTATGTGAAAAATATTACATAGGATGACCTCTTTCCAGGGTGACTTCTTTCCAGAGAATTAAACTACAGAATCAAACATAAGCATGTATCCATAGAAATTAATTTTCCTTTAGCCCCACTGAAATAGATGGGATTTCAGTGGTACCAAAAGGAGACTAGCTTCCCTGGATTCAAACATTAAGTAATATAGGTAGTCTTTGACTACCTTTGGGTCACATGAGTTCCAGGTTACAACAGCACTGAATGAATGGTTGTCAAGGTTCTGGCCATCCCTGCCCACCCACAGTCATGAATTTGCAAAATGTTATTTAAGTCAGGTTACTTAGTGCCTGAAATCATTATTTGCAACCTTCCATGCCAACTTTTCCAGAAAGTCAATGAGGAAGCCAGTAGGGAAGATCACATGTTACTGGGGTAGATGTCCCCCATCAGCGCATCCTCTAGCCCCTCTGCACTTGCTCTGCATTATCCACTTGTGTACCTCAATGTACCTTCCCCGACGAAAAGCAGCATCTTTTGCACACCCTTTCACACCTTCTCCGACACTCTCAAAAGTAAGATATAAGGATTACATGACGAGTGAATTTACAATCAGCAGTTATGTTTTAAGGGGAAAAATGTATAATGATAGATTTAATTACATTATGCTGTCATGTCTTTCACCAGCATCACCTTAGAATTTAGGCTGCTATTTTTTAGGGCACAGGAAATTGAAAATAAGTGTGGCTGGTGAAATGAGTATTAGTAACTGCACCAGAAGTGCACATGATTCAGCTAAGGAATCTGCCTTGGATGTGCACATATCATTGTGTAATGAACACAATCGCCACAACATGCTAAGCCATATTGGGATTTCGCTTAATCTGAAGCCAGAGCAGGACTTGGACTGTAGTGGACACAGAGTTGTGTTCTGTAGTGAGCACAGAACACACAGTTGTCAAGCAAAAAAAAAAAACCCAACCAAAAAAGGAAATAATTAGCTTTTCTTTGCCCTGTGTGTGACAATTTTGAACTCAATCCAAAGAAAATCATTGGCCAGAATAGGTGGGTGAAGAACCAGCAGACTACTACTTTGAGCAATGGATATGTTTGTGGCATTTGTAATTGTTCTTCCTCACAGCTATTTTGTAACAATGTACCCTTTTTTAAAGTAACTTCCTTGCTTATAACCTATTCTGACATCCTGTTGAAGGTTATAGTTTTAAAAGCTTTTTAAAAATTCAGTCTACATGAGGTTTCATGCATGACTTAACTTTGAAAATAATTGAACGGAAAATTTTCCTGCTGTGAAGCAAAAATGTGAAACATAGTGGTTTTTTGGACATTTCCTAGTTACTATAGATTTCAAATTTGACAGCTTTGATGTTGCTGGCCGAGACAGCTTTGGCAATATAGTTTTTAAATAAGGTTGGAAATACTTCTCAGGATTAAATCTAAGTGCTTCTCACTAATACATTTTATGATGATTTCATAGCAGAGTCTTTTTAGAAAAACGCATGCTGTCTTTTATCAACACTGCAGTTTTCCTAATATAGATGCAGAAGTATATTTAGTATTGAAATCCCTAGAGTGCTCTCAGTAACAGACAAAACAAAAGCTGAATATTTTTAAAGACTTAAAATCCAGTTGAAAAAAAAATTAAGAATAATCAGTGAGGTTTGGATGAAAAGATTTTAATTTCTTTCCTAATGGTAAAGCAAAGGTTAGTGTTTTATAGCTTTGATATGATGATTGAAGGCTACTACCATATCCTGAACAAATGGACTTCTGAAATTAAATGAAAGATCTGTGCCTTATTCACCACACATAGTACACAAAAGCCTGTCTTACAATGTTTTATTCAACATTCCAGAATCAAAGATCCTATTGCTGTCCAAACAAACTGTCATAGTAAACAGTCTACATTTCAAAGTTGTCACCTCCGTCATAATTAACTGCATACAAATTTCTGCCCAAAACTTTTTATATTAACATCACTTTTATAAAATATACAGGATTGTCCAACTCTTAATGTATTCACAGTATACAGTTTTTTTCTGGGAAAAGATCTCAGAGGTGACTTGAATTTGTCTAGTGTGATAAAGCCAACTTTTAAAATGGACTTAGCTTCAAAGACTTTAAATAAGACATTTATTGTACAGAGGATTTATATTCCATACAAACTCACCCTCCCATCAGGAATGTACTCTTTTTGTTTTAAAGTATAAATGTATGTGAACTCTTACAGCAAAGGAGCATTCTTGATGGAAAGATATATTGCTAGTATCTTTTCCTACGTGGATCTTGACAAAATGCCAATTTTTGTGCTGGCCAGAAAAAAATGAGATCTTACTTAGTCATTGATCCCCAGATAATGCTGAGTTGTGAGCAAAAATTCAAGGGAAGAGTTCAGAGCAGCCTTTTGAAATGCTTTTCATACTGTAACTCCTGTTTTGGCTCTTGATTCTTTAATATTAGCCCATGTGTTCTTTCCTTAAGGTTTTTATAAAGCTAATTTGAAGTTCATTACATAATGATTAAATAGTGTTCATTTAAGTCAAACTTCATAGTACTCTGCTGTGATATTACTGAAGAATTTTTTAGAGGGCCTGTTCAGGCTTGGAAACTTCCTATAAAAATAGGGATATTTTAGGTTTTTATTCACCACTAGCTGTACCCAGCCACGCGTTGCTGTGGCTCAGTCTGGTAAAAGCGTGTGTTGCTTTTACGTCCAACAGATGGCGCTGTTTTTCAAAAAAAGCATGTTTTACCTGTCACAGGTGTGACATCTATATAATATAGGTACTGTATATAAAAACACGCGTGTATTCGAATGCAACGTTGTGTCAAAATTTCAAAGCAATCGGTGAAGAACTTTCGGAGATTTAAGATTTTGAACAAACGAACATTTACATTTTTATTTATATAGATTAAAATCTGCATATATTTGCAGGCTTTCCTTCCAATAATTAACAGAAATCATTAATATTTTAGAAAAACTTCTTTTGTGGTGATAGCATGATTAATGTTTCTTTAGCTTCCCACTTGCAGGAAATTAAATAGATTTAATTTATGTTACTTTTTATTTTTTGTAAGCTGCCCAGAGTCACTGAGAGTGAGCGGGTGGCCATATAAATTTTATTAAATAAATAAAATAAGTATATAAATATGTGTCCTAACCAGCTCTTCTTTTCCAGTCTTCTCCAGCCACAACGGTTACATCTCCCAATTCTACCCCAGCAAGAAGTATTGATACATCTCCACCACTTGATCTTTTTGCAACATCTTCAACAACGGCTCCAGTAAGGTTAGTTTGGTTGCAAATATGATACTTACTTTTAAAATATTTGGTACAGGTAGTCCTCAACTTAAAACAGTTCATTTAGGGACCATTCAAAGTTACTATGGCACTGAAAAAAGTGACTTATGATTGTTTTTTACAGACCTTTGAAGCCTAACTTCTCTGGAGAACACTAGGTTGGGGAAAGTTGATACAAGATCACAACAATTTGTATAGTTCTAATTATATTCTTGAATATGCCATTATTTTTGTTTAATTCTTGCAAATGAATTCACAGGACTTCAAAATTACTTCTATGATTTTTATCCAAATACTTTTTGGAATTTTTTCCCCTTGCAATAGTGCTTCCAAGCTCTCCAGTGACCTTCTAGATCTTCAACCAGACTTCACATCTGGCCTTGCACAAGCAGCTTCAGCAGCTCCCCCTGGTGGAACAACTTCATGGGGAGGTAAAACTTTTTATGATTTTAATTCCCCAAAACTTAATTTCAGAATAAAGCTGGAATGCTGACCATGCTTTCTTAATCCACCTTCTTATGTCTAAGACTATTTGTGCTGATTACACCAATTTTGTAAAATTGGACTTTCCCAGTCATTCAGGCCTCTAGATGTCTCAGAGTATATCTTTTCTACTTGCCAGCCATCTAACACCTCTGGAAATCTCCAGTTTGAGGGGGAAAATACCATTATATTGAATTTTAAAGTTTCATCTTTATAGCATATTTTAACTTCAGAATAATATTTTTGAATACAATGTCTATTTGTACTGATATTATTCCACTGTATGTTTCAAACAAACACATCCTGAAAATTTTGTTTCATGAATCAGCCTGAGTTTGAATCTAAAGAAATTCTAAAATGTGTTTCTCCTTTTTCATTTTATTGGCCTATAATCAAAGCACTATATTCCTAACTCTATTGGATTTAATTATCTCCTCCTGCAGAAGGAATTTGACATTTAGAATTTGAATGCTTTAAACTGCCATTCAAAATGCAGGCAATTGGAACTACAGTGGATACCGTTGGAATTCAGAACATTTTTTTTAACATCTTGAAAATATTGAGCCTATTATAAAACCAACAGGACACAGAGATTTTGGTCATTTAAAAATAGCATTTTAGGTTATAATGTTTTTCTTTGTAAGTGGCATTAAAAGTGTTTCTAACAAAGTGCAGAGGTGCAACCTTGTCTGCTGTAGCAAAACTGTTGTGAAAACTAACAGAGGTATTATGGGTTAAAATTTTTAATGGTATCCTTCACCATACCTGAGAGTGGCAGGCCAGGTTATGTGGTGCACACCTGCCTTTATTCTCTAAAAGAAAAAAAGGCCAAGAGACTTGGACAACTCAACGAGAATTACTTCTTGGCCTTTGGGCTATAAGGTCACATGTAATGTATATGTATAAATAGGCCTTTTTTTGTCATAGAACGCCCAGAACGGAGTTCCGGCACTTTTTTGGGATGGAACCTTGTAGGGTAGGCAAGGCGGGTTGTATGACGTGTGTGAGTTCCGGCACCTTTTTTTTTTTTTAGAAAAAAAGCACTGCGTGTAAACAATTAGGATGCTCTCTCTCCAGCTTTTGCCACTTGAATTGGTTCCCTCAATCTTCATAGTGGTAAAGCTAGTTCTGTCCTAGAGGTCTTCTTCATGTCATTGCATTTGTTTAATGTGTGGCTTTGGCAGTGCTAGAAAAAGGGGAAGAAAATAAATGTATTGTCAGCTGCATGCTTTCTTCTATGCATCAGATGTAAAGAGAAAATCCCATCTATGTCTTATCCTAGAGAACAACGCCGATAGATCTTTCCTTTCTGAGACTTAATGAAATATTGTTTGCACTATCTTTTTCCTTCCCCAGTTTGCCCTATCAAAGCAAGAATTGTTTAGTACATCCGCATATATCTGAATTGTCTCAAGAGTCTTTCCAGGAAGGATGAGGGGAAATTTATTTTTAATCCTATACCTACATCAACAAGTTCAAATATGTCTTTGCAGCAAAATGCATTAGAGAACTGTATCTGTAGTACATAAGAGCACGAGTGGAGAGCATGTGCATGCATTCACACACATCAGAGTCATCAAATCATCCAGCCAACCAAATCCTGTTGGGAAGAAAAACCTATGCTGATTTGCTGAGCTTGGGCCTATGTGTACAAGTTAGTTTATGTTCTTTTGTCCTGTTGATTACAACATGGAACTTTTGTAGGGCCACTAAAGATGAAAATTCACTTATCTTTTAAAGGCACCATGAATTTAACCATGAGCCAGTCAGAAGACCGTGCTTAAAATATGAACTTACACAGTTGGCATGACTAAACGTATACAACAGATGTATTGAAGGACATTAATTTTCAGAATATGCACACAAAACCCATCTACTTCGTTTCAGAAAAAACCTTTAAGAAGTAGCCGTAGCTTTCTTCCAGGCAGTCAGAATGTGACATAATAAATCAGCAAGAAAGAGTGCATGCAATGTTATTCTGTGTGAGGTGCTGGCCCTAGCATTGCTTTTACACTGCAGCAGCCCTTGGCATTAGCATCCCCTTTTGACCCAACTATATATACAGGTAGTCCTCCACTTACAACAGTTCATTCAGTGACCATTCAAAGTTACAACAGCACTGAAAAAAGTGACTTATGATCATTTTTCACACTTATATCTATTGCAGCCTCCCCATGGTCACATGATCAAAATTCAGACGCTTGGCAACTGACTCATATTTATCAGGGTTGCAGTGTCCCCAGGGTCACGTGATCCCCTTTTGCAACCTTCTGACAAGCAAAGTCAATGGGGAAGCCAGATCTGCTTAAAGACTGTGTTACAGTGCTTAATAACTGCGGTGATTCACTTAACAACTGTGGCAAGAAAGATTGTAAAAGGGAGCAAAATTCACTTAACAAATGTTTTGCTTAGCAGTATAAATGTGGGGCTCAATTGTAGTCGTAACTCGAGGACTACCTGTATGACTGGGTATAGAAGCAGCAGCAGTAGCAACATTGGCTACAGGTGAAAGTGTGTGGGCGATGAGAGCGGAGGGCAAGGTGTGAAGAGGAAAGCAAATGAACATCACGGACATCACTCGGGTGGTTCTTCAGTGACTGGAAGAAAATCCTATGCTTTTTAAGTGAGTCAATGACAGGCTCAGAGTACAATCCAGCTGAATTGGCATAAGAAAGTCACAATGTGTTCCTCATCATTAGCCATATCTGGGCAGGCTGCTCTCAGTCTTCTGGAGGGCAAGACAAGGGGACTGACCCTCATTATCTTTCCCATTGCAGGATCAGGAAAATTCCAAAGTGAAAGAGTCAGGTCCCAGGTGCCAATGATAGGGGTGAGCCGTGTCACCTGCCTAGACAGAACGATTCTCCTCAAGACTCTGGTTGTGAGTGAGAAGTGTGTATTGTTGAGAAACATGGCCAGTTCTGACCAGAGCTTGACATTGGCTACCCAAGAACTGGAGTCTGTCTTCTTCTTTCCCCTGCTTGCTCAGTTAGCATAGTATGGAGTGTTTTGGGCCGCCTGACAAGCCACCAAACAGTATCTTTCTCTGGAAATTGGCCATACACACTACCCAAGACAAGGTTAGCATGTTTGGGCATCTCATCACAAATCCTATGTCAGAATTAAGGCTCTGGCTGGCCTTGCTACTGTTGGATGGCTTCTTCCTAGTCTTAATTGTCCTCAGTTAGACAACTTCTGGAACAAGGAGAGGATTTTCCAAAGGGAAATTGTCACAACCGTTGTTGGAAGCATAGGGCAGAAGTGGACAACGAGGGGTTCTGTAAATCTAGAGGGGTTCTGTAAATCCGAAAGCAGCTGCCTCCTTTACTTCACTATATTGACTTGGTTGCATTTTGAGTCTCCCTTCCAAATTGCCAAACAAGCTTACCATTTTTTCACTCTTGATCTGGAAGGGATAAGAATCATAGAACAATTATTCAGGTAATTTTTGATCACCTCTGCAGCTTCAAAGGTGGGAAAAGTCCTTTTCTATTCATCAGTGGATGGAAGACACACTTGCAGGAAACCAGTGTAATAAAAACAATTTTAAGACTTTGGTATTATTTGCTCATTACAACCAAATTATAAACCCACTATTAGAATTGTTAATTTGCATTCAAACAGAGATGCTTAATTATAGACTTTTTCAATGGCCTTGCTTCTGTGATTTCTAAAATCAGTGTTTAAAAGCACGTGTCTGTGCTTATTTTGTTACGAGTTGGATTGTGAAGTGTTGTGCCATTTCTTCAAGCCTTTTCAGGTTCATTTTCTGGTGTTAAAAAAAACCTAATAACTATTTGCCAAATATATCAAGTTAATTCTTCCTTTCAGCGATGGTTTGTAGTTGGATAAGGCTGTGTCAGAGATGGGTTGAGATAAGCCTTAGTCACTTAAGTCTTTGTTTCTAGGTGCTTTGGAAAAGGAAAAGAGACACAGCATCATGTAAAGCTGCATGCCAGTACCAGTGACATATCTGGACTTAGAGCAGCGTCCCGTTGATTTGAAATAGCCCCATTTTGGCAGAGAGTGACTTCTGAGTAGCATGCATGTTGACTTTCTTAACCTTCTTATTTTTTTACAATGCTGTCTTTTAACGGACATTTTACAGACCTCCTGGGAGAGGGTGAGTAATGCTTGATTTCTAAGCAGTTCTTCCAGCTGAAATGTTTAAATATTCAATTAGACTAGGCCTGTCTCTGTTTAATTTATTTTACTGTGCAATCTAGTGTTACTTTGGCCTTTTCTGCTGACTGTTCCTGTTTGATCTTCCTGTATGGACGCATGTAGACAGTTTGGCTGGATTTTCCAGTGTTACCTCTGAACCACAGATTTCAGATCCATTTGCACCAGAACCCACCTTAGCTCCTCCTGCTGCAACTGCTGAGTCAGCAACTACTTCTGCAACTACCACTGCTGCGGCGGCTGCTGCTGATGAGGTGGATCTCTTCGGAGGTTAGTTAGTTTATTTATTTGCTACCGCTTTCTCAACTGAAACATGGGGAGGATGGAGGAAACACCGATCGATTCGGGTAACTTTCTTCACTTTACCTACAGAATTAATAAAAAAATTCTTGAAAAGGGACCCTACGTGCATGTTATACCCTGTGCAAAAATGATTCTGAGAAGTAATCTTCATAGGAATATGATGGAGCTAACTTACCCATCATAAACGTGTTATATTAAGTAGTGTGAATCTCTTTCCTTGCAAATAACAACGGGAGAAAAAAAATTGTGTTTGAGACATATAGAAGAATTTAATTTCACACACACACACACACACACACACACACACACTTATGGGCAGTCCCTTGTTCTGAAGCTATATTCAATCTGACTTGGAAATGCCAATTAGTATCCCAAATGAATCGGCTGTACCCTCTAAAGCAAATTGAACTTTGCGTAATTAAGCAAAAATACCTGCTTACCAGAGATGCTAGTTATAAATATTGTACAGGTTTCTTTCTCTGAATGGGAGAAATAGATCTATTGGTATTGCTGCAGTTATCACCATTAGCTATGTTAATGCCAGACTGGGGAGAGGAGGTTGGCCCTTCTCTTGCCCTAAGTTGTAGCCTACAGAATAATATAATTTTATGAGGTAAAAGTTTTTCAGAAGGAAAAGTACATACTGTAAAACAGGGGTTCCCAACCAGGGGTGCTCGTACTCCCTGGGGGTGCGAGACGATATTCCAGGGGGCGCGAAAACTTGGCTTTTCAAAATTATAATGTATACGCATAATTCATTGCCGTTATTTTGAACTTTTGTAAGGGGTGCGAGAATATATCAGAAGCGTTCTAGGGGTGCGGGGTATAGAAAAGATTGGGAACCACTGCTGTAAAACAAACATACAATTGATTTAATGATTCTTCAGGTAAGCAAAATGCTTCCAATATAACAGCTGTGAAATTTTATCCCATTTTCAGTATCTGCTTTCAGCATTTCAGTGTGACTTTAGGGTAAAGCTTCCTGTTTACCTTAGCTAAGTAGAGTTCTTGAAATTGAAATGTTCTCAGTTGTTGGACAACTGCCATACAGTTTTCTGTAATGTGTTAAGCAAAACAAAATTGCTTAAAGGCTTCATTTATTAGAATACAAGTTTAGCACAATGAGAATTTGGCAGACTCCATTTCCTGTCGCTTTCTTTCTTATTACTTTGCTCTTTAATAGATCTTAAAGGCAGCTTTAACTTGTTCTGTTGCAAATCAGATGCATGTCTATATGAGCTTTTTAGAATAGGCAGCAGGATTTTTATTTTCAAGGACGAATATTTTTAACATTAAATTGTCGGTGTCTTAATAAGCATGTGAGTCTTCCTGTTTCTAGAGAAATTGATCTTTCGAACGGGAAATTTGCATGGCAGCAAAACCAACAGTGTCCTGTTTTAATTCTGAATTGCCTTTTCAAACTCCCCACCATTGTGGCTACTTCAGTATTTCCTCATTTTTTCTAATCATTTTGCCCGTCTTACTTAATGCTGCTGGAGTTGGCAGAGTTTGTACAGTAGTACTGTACACAACTAATAGAGAATAAAGAAATGGGGTACTACTTTTTCGCCGAGCCCTGAAGGCCCATCTATTCCGTGCGGCCGGCCTGGCGTAGTTTGATTATGTTTTAGTGGGGGTTTTGTATGGGGTGTTTTTAGAGCAGGCCTGTTATTTAATTTGATTTTAGAACAGAAACTTATGTATATTTATCGTGGTTTTTAGTATCGCCTGTTCACCGCCCTGAGTCCCGTAAGGGAGATAGGGCAGTATATAAATTTAAATAATAATAATAATAATAATAATAATAATAATAATAATAATAATAATAATAATAATAATAATAATAATAGCTGTAACGTTATTTAGAGGCAGGAGATTTTTCTAGATTTGAATTTAGAAAACTAGGTCTAGCCTTTTTCTGTTTCTCATGACCCAATGGACAATTCTAGGTGTCTCTAATTGCAGAAAGTGCAAATGCATTATTTTTCAACCATGTAGCACGTGTCAATTGCATTCTATATTTTTTTCTGCTAGTTGATAAAGGAGGGCTTGTTTTGATTAACTCTAAAGGATAGTTTAGCATTGCATAAACAAGCTAGTGAATTTTGATCTCTGAGGATGCCAGAGAAAAAGATTAAATCAATATCCTTCTTTAAAGTGACTGGAACTGGTCATTGATAATGTTCTCATGATGTACAGTAGTAAAGCTAAGCTTATCCTTAAAATTGCCTTGAAGTTTTAACTGTGAGATACCTGAGGGAACAGCAACCAAGTGCCGCTATTTTTCCTTCTGTGGTTTAAGCTACTTGAACTGCACTGCTATGCCCACTCTGAGAATTTTCCTCCGATGACAAGAAATACTCTTGGAGGAGATGAAAAGAAAACACTAGTGGCAAGAAGGCAGTCCTACCAAAAGAATCTGTGGTATTAACAACACTGGAAAAGTAGTTTCAGCATAATACTGTACTTTCTAATATCTCTGACCCAAATTAGCCATTAACAAGCCATAAATTCCTGTTTGCTAAGTGGTGAACCAATCATACTTTGACTCAGTATATTAACTGGGAATTAGTTTGAACTGTGATTCATTGACACAAGCAAGAATTAGAAAACATGTCCTCAATCTAGAAGCAGAAGGTTCCCATTTCCCCCTTCCTAGAGTGTTCGTGAAAAGGAGATTGGGTGTTGATCCAGAGTCTTAATCCCACTTGCTCGTGAATTGCTAAAAAGGAGATCAAAGTTATAGCTTTGATGTGTGCAAGAAAAAAATAGACAATTGGTTGACTTCCTACAATGATTGGAGTCTAGTCTTAGGGAGACAAGTTCTCTTTGCACACACCCCAAGCTTGACCAGTCCCTTGCAAGGTTGTGAATTGCTTTGTGTATAGCTTCTGCAAATAAATAAGGCCAATAATGTCACCTGAATTATTAGAATACAATGGATATAATTACTGTAATCCAAGTTAAGAGGAGTTGTAATTGAAGTACAATTAATATTTTTTAGTCTACTTTACTTTCCCCCAAGGGTGGCACGGTGGCTCCATGGTTAAGACACTGGGCTTGTTGGCTGCAAAGCCAGCAGCCTGGGTTCAAGAACCAAGTGCCACGTGACGGGGTGAGCTCCCGTCCTCATCCTAGCTCTTCCCAACCTAGCAGTTCGAAAGCATGCAAATGCAAGTAGATAAATAGATACCATTTCGGTGGAAAGGTAACAGCAGTCCGTGATGTCATGCTGGCCACATAACCACAGAAATATCTTCAGAAAGAGATTTGAAACAGAGATGAGCATCACCGTCTAAAGTCGGGAACCACTAGTGGAGTAAAATCCGCAGGGACGCCTTTACTTTTTACCTTACTTCCCCAATCTTAGAGAATACGATTTAACAGAACAGGAAAAGTTACTCTGTTAAGTATATTGGTTATTGAATGATTTTTATGTTATTTATTAGGGTTTTTTCCCCCTTGGAGGTTATATATGCATACCAATGAAGGAGAATATTTGTAGCTCAGGGTTGAAATGAGGGGTCCTTGGTGCTCTCCGAGCTTGCTTGTTTTCTTGCAGACGTTTCATTACCCTAACTAGGTAACATCATCAGTGCTGTTACATATGCATGCTATTCAAGACCCTTATACAAGGAGCATTTTTTGCCATTAGCTTTTCTGCTTACCTTGTGTGTACTTGCAGACTCTCGCAATCATCGTGACCTAATATAATTACTTGGGTTGAATTTAGTTTGAAAACTGTTGGTAGTTGCACAAAACAAATGCAACCGTCACCCTATGAACCCGCATTTTGTATAAGGGATTTTTTTTATGCTATTTAACTTGGTTCTTTTACTATATTTTCTTCTCTTTTTTTTATTCTTCTTAATTTCTGTTTCTAAACCCGCACTCAAGATGCCTTTGGTCGAAGAGGACCACTTCGGGGACGTCGTCGACTTCCCCGTCGTCGTGGTCGATGGGGTTGGGGACATCGTCGTCGAGAACTACGTACAAGTCCTTTACCACCCAAGGTAGAGTAATCGAGTAGACAGCACCACCAACACACACACAGTATGATTAATTTTATTTGAAGTACCGTCATACAAACAGTGAATTCATACCCTTTTTTTTTAAAAAAACAACAACAACAACACACATTTTCCCCAGATATTTGGACAAAAGTTCTAATCGAACAAAAATTGTGTCAGGAAAGCACTCTTACATGATTTCGCCAAAGCTTTTTTTTTTCATTGAAAAATGTTAACAATGCTGAATCTTGCATGTAGCTGGTAGAAGGTTTCTACAATGATGGACAGAACTTTTCAAAGTGCCTTACTTCAAGGGAGAGAGAAAATGCATGTGGGCACTTGGGCGCCTATTAGTATTGATGTCAGAGAATCAACAGTGGTTAACCAAGCTGTGCCTTTGGTTTCTGTTTTGCATGTATGTATAAATTGTGATATGTGTGTGTGTGTGATTTAATCCACACAGGGTGTGGCTTTTCCTATCCTTCCCGGCTGATCCTTCATATATATGTATATTCTGCCATTTCCTTTTACAAGACCCCTTTGCCCCATCAGAAGGCAATGCAACTCCTGAGCTGGACCTCTTTGCTATGAAGCCAACTGAGACCAGCGTTCCTGTAGTTACCCCTACAACTAGTGCAGCTACTTCCGCAACCAGTCCTACTCCAGCTGCTGCTGTGGCCCCTCCAGCCCCTGCTACAACTGCTGCTGCTACTACTGCTACTGTCACTACTGCTACTACATCTGCTACTACTACCATCACTACCACCACCTCTGCTCCTCCTCCTGCTCTAGATATCTTTGGTGGTAACTTATTTCATTCTTCCTTTCCACTGAATTTTTTTTGGGGGGGGTGAATTAAATTTTCAGCATATAGAAACAGACTCTTATTTTTTGCATATTTAATCTCTATGGCAATTATTCTTAGAAAGAAACAAGTTTCACGACACGGAGATATAAATTAGTAAGACAAAGTATATTCTTCATCTAGATTTGTTTGAATCCACACCTGCTGATGCTCCTCCACCACCTAAGTCAGATGCAGCTCCTAGCATAGATCTGTTTGGGACAGGTAAATATATATAAAAAGTTCTGTCCTATAATAATCCAAATTGTGTTATTAAATTTCTATTTTATTTGATTGCTGAGCATTTTTCTGTCAATCATATACATATCTATCTCTAATCTTCATGTAATTTTTCTTTGGCTTCTGCAAGATACTTTTTCTTCTCCAGCTACTGGAGCTTCACCTGGGCCCGAGAATTCTCTCACTGGTGATCTATTATCAGGTAGGTGCTTTCTCTTTAGATCTAAGCTATTTGTATTTGTGTGGCTTGTCACCTTTTTTTCCCAAAATACCTGTGAAATATGATCAGTTTTAAACTGTTGAAAAGTTAGTAATGTCAAAACTGAGCTGATCTCCTGAATATTCCCTGTGTCACTTTAGATCAGCGGTTCTCAACCTATGGGTCGCGACCCCATTTGGGGTCGATCGACCATTTCACGGGGGTCACCAAGCAAGGCTGTCCGCCATATTTTCCCCCTTTTCCGGCGGGTGCCTTACCTCCCTTGAGCTGGGCCAGCTGGTGGTCGGCCTGCTCCATCTCTGCCGCTTGCCAGCTACGCCTCGGCCGGCGCAGGGGGCGGAACCACGCATGCGCGGCGCTCCCGGGCAGGGAAAGTCCTCAACTTACGACCGGTTGGGTAGTCCTCAACTTACGACCGGTTTAGTCCTCGACTTACAACCGGTTTAGTCCTTGACTTACGACCGGTTTAGTCCTCGACTTACGACCGGTTGGGGTCGCGGCATTAAAAAGGTTGAGAACCACTGCTTTAGATGATCTTTGAGCAGGGATCCCCAACCCCTGATCCGTGGACCGGCATCGGTCCGCAGCCCACCAGGAACTGGGCCACTCAAGCGAGTGAAGCCCCCATCTGCACACACGCAAACAGTGCGCAAAACCACTCCCCCCCAGTCCACGGAAAAACTGCCCTGCATGGACTGGTCCCTGGCACCCAAAAGGTTGGGGGCTGCTGCCTTTGAGCACATTTACACCACTATATTTGAAAAGAGGCAATTCCCTCCCCCAAATCTTAGATTGTATAAGCCTTGCACAAGTTCCCACGCAAGCCATTGACCTAGAACATGAGATTGTCAATCCTACATAAAAACTTGATAATAAAAAATGAGAACATAATTATTTTTATTTAGGAAGGTAATGTGTGCCAGCTTCTGCTAACTTATAGTGCTAATCTTGTTTACAGACTTCTGTAGGCAGTTTACACTCAACATCCTGTTCAAATCATTGCTGAAAGATGGACAGAGTCAAAAGCTACCTGGAGAGCTTATTTATAATCATAACCCAGGAAGAAAGCTTTATGAGCTACATACTCATGTTTCCCCAAATATAAGACCGGATCTTTTTTTTTTTTTTTGCCTCCAAAAGAAGCACCGGGTCTTATTTTTGGGGGATGTCTTATTCACCTCTGGCGCCGACAGCCCCACCCAGCCGGTCCACTTCTTCTGCAGCCGAAGGAGCAGCTTCATTCTGCAGCTGCATTCTGGCCTGCATTTTGCAGGAAGACCTTTCAGGAAGGCCTATGCAGCTGAGTACCGAGATCTTGCAGAACCAAGCTATGGATTCAATCCATAGCTCAGTTCTTGGCTCCAGTGGCCTTCCAGAAAGACCTGTGACTGAGAAATGCAGATCTGGCTGCAGAAGACACTGCAGAAGAAGTGGGTGGGCGAGGAGAGGCCTTGCTGCAAGGGTGGAGGGTGTGTGGGACAGCTCTACACCCCCACCCTAGCTTGATTTTTAGGTGTGTGCCTCACTGCAAAACTAGGGCTTATTTTGGGAGTAGGGTTTATTTTTGGGGTAGGATTTATATTAGGCCGACCCCAAAAATCAAACTAGGGCTTATTTTCAGAGTAGGCCTTACTTTTGCGGAAACACAGTAGTCTAATAGCACCTTTCCTTTTGACAGATTTATCTGGCAGTTTAGATCTGGTTCTAAGTGACAGTTACCTGCTATATTAATAAGCATTTTTAGGCTTTTTCTAGGGTCATAATACTGTCCTCCACAGCTTATCTATTAAAAGAAGGATCATTAAGCTTCCATGATCAGGAAGTTTTCATGCTACCCAGAATCCAGGAAATCTATAGTTTAAATTCTAGAAAGTTAACTATATCTGGCTATAAAATTGTATCATATTTTGAATTAATCAGAATTGCTATAGAATGGATGAAATGAGAAATCTGAAAACAACAGCTCTTGAGCAGATACAATAATATAAAACCAAGGCATAAATACATAATATAATACAGACATACAGACATACATACACACACACACATACACACATATTACTGTGTGTAGTCCCTGCGTGTGTACAAAATAAATAAAAAATGGCCCAGAACAGTTTTTCTTTTCAATCTAATTTTTAAAGATGCTGCTTTAATAGTGGATACTCTGTGAAAAATCTAAAGGGAATTTAGTTTTTCCAAGTCTTTTCAATATATACATTGTGTTGTCATGGATTCAAGATAAATGGCCTCATCATTCCTAATTTGCTTTTACTAAATATTATCATGCTTACTCCAGTGGATGCATTTGCAGCACCATCGTCCCTGCCCACTGCTTCCCCGGCTAAAGTGGACTCTTCAGGTGTGATTGACCTGTTTGGTGGTGGGTATTGTTGTTCCTCACCATTCAAGTACTTCCCATTTCATTTCCATTTCATTTTTCTTTGCCAGCAATTCAATGTTTTACAACAGTTACTTTTATTATGCTACGTTGTGCTTCATTTGCTTTTTAACTGTTATGAAATGCAGTTTGGGTGTTTTTTTTACTGTTGTCTGTCCTTATTTCCATGCATGAAACTCCTTATTCAAGTAACTATTGCATTCTTCCTCCTACAGTATGCAATTTTCAGTTTTACAATTATGCTTCTCTATAGCATGTATATTTCTCTTGACAGCTACCTGCTATCTACCGTATTTGTGTATATATATATATATATATATATATATATATATATATATATATATATATATCAAAAATTTCTTTAAAAATGTGATCCCTGGGTAATTCCATATTAAAACAGTGAAAAACACACGAGCACCAGGGAATGTGGTAAAAAATTTTGGTTTAATGTTAAAATTACTAAAACTACTAATAAAACCAATTAAAACGCCTAGCTTT